AAGACCTCCTTTTCACTTATGGAGAGATGGAAACCTGCCCGTTCCAGACACTCCAAGGGAAACAAGAGCAGTGGAAAGATATTGGCTCTTCCTGGAGGCTGTGCTCGGGGCTGCCGGGGAGCTAAACCCGGTGCTGGGGAGGGACAGGGATCCCGGGAGGGGGGAGCTCTGCTCAGGTACGTGGTGCCGGTGGCAGCAGAGGCACCCTGAGGCATTGCTGGGTCACTTCAGAGGGGTCTGGGGCAACAGGTGACCCCCCCAACATACCCACCCGGTCATATGGATACCCCGTCACCTAAATTAAACCCTAGAAGCCTCCACCGAAGCGATGCTGAGGATGACAAGCGAGCCGAGCAGAGAAGGGAGATTACGATGCTTGGGGGTACTATTTAACCGTGCTGAGCACCGCTAAGCCCCGGGGGCGAAATTACGCACACATGCACAAACACAGAGGACTTACTTTCGGGGTAAAAAGGCTGCATGTCTATTTTGTAGACTTCTTTGGCATAATACTCCTCGTCGCTCCTCTCCCTCTCGCAAGTGGCGGCTCTGTGGTTGGCTTTTTCCTGCAGCAGGTCCCTGGTGCTGTTGTAGATGGAGATGACCTCCGGGGGCACCTCCTCGGGCTCGGGGTACTCGTCCGGGGGGCTGGTGAGCTTCAGTTTGCTCAAGATCTGCCCCCGGATCGCCTCGATCCTCTTGCGCATAAACTGATCCATGTCGAGGGTGCTGCAGGTAGACAGGCTGAGAGCCACGGTGGCCAGATCCACGGTGAGGAGCACGCTCAGGAGATAGCAGTGCATTTTAAGTGTTTAAATACAGCGCCCCCCCACCACCAAAAAAAAAAAATAAAAAAAAAAAAAATAAAAGTGACTTTAACAACGACCAACAAGAAAAAAAAAATCGAAAAAAATAAAAAGGGGATCTGTGCAAACAAAGGGGAGATCTGCAGACAAAATGCTCTTAAAAACCGGGCTGCGAGGGAGGCTCGCAATAGGAAAACGCACGGGAGGCGCCAGTGAAAAAAAATACCAGTAATAATAATAAGGGGGAAAAAAAATAGAAAAGAAAAAGCAAGTTGCTACAACTAGATAAAATTCGGGGCTGGAGTGAGCCGGACAGCAAAAAAGGATGAGGAAAAAAGCCCCCAAATAGATACAACAAACCCGCAAATCAAGTAAATGGCAGAGAGGCTGCTCTCAGCGCGCTGTAATACAAAAATCCGAAGGGGGGGAGGGTGGGGGAAAGGGGGAAGGAAAAAACCCAAAAAAAAAAAAAAAAAAAAAAAAAAAAAAGAAGGAGGGCGAGAAGGCGCGGTGATGGGTATCACAGGGCGCTGCCGCAGCCGGCACGGAGAGGGTGCGGGCGCGGCGCTGAGCCCCGCCGTGCGCCCGCGGCGCCCGACGGCTCCCGGCGGGCAGCGGCAGCGGCACCGCCCCGCGCCCGGCGGCGCTCAGCCCGGGCACCGAGAGCCGCGCACGTGTGCGCCCGGCGGGCGGCGCCGAGCCCCGGCCCGGCCCCGGCCCCGGCCCCGGCCCCGCGGCGGCGCCCGGCGCCCGCGGCGAGCGGCGATCCCCCGTGCGGCCGCGTCCCGCAGGCTGCTGCGTGCGCCCCGCGCCGCATGCACCGACCCACCCCCGCCCGGGCCCGCTGCGCGCCGCACAGCTCTTCCCAGCTCCCTCCTCTTCCTCCTCCTGCCGGAGCGCCGAGCCCGCGCCGCGGTCAGGCAGGCAGGCAGCGCCGCCGCGCCCCGGCAGCCTCCCGCGGGTCGCAGGCGCGGAGCCGGCCGCAGCGCCGCGCCGCTCTCCCCGCCCGCCGGCCTCCCCCGCGGGGCTGGCGCTGGCCCCGGCCCCGGCGGCTCTAGCGCTCCGCCCGGCGCCCCCCGCCTGCCGCCCCCGGCCCCTCGGCTCTCCCTGCGCGGAGGGGACGGGTGCCAGCAGATAACATCACGGCCGCGCAGGGAGAGGGAGATTTATACGATCTCCCCGCCCCACGTGCTCGGCTCGCTGCGAAGTGACGTGGAGGGGCTGCGGGAGCGGAGGGCTCCGCGCCGCCGCCCGGCTATTTATTCCCCTCCGCGCCACCGGCGAGGGACTCGCCGCAGCCCGGCCGCTGCCGAGGTGCCTCACCCCGGGGCAAGGAGAGGGGAGGCAGCCCGGAGCCGAGAGGGAAAAGCGAGTCCTGCCAGACTTTTATTTTACTTCTTTTTTAAATAAAGGCTTTAGTGCTTCTTGCACCTATTATTAAAGTAATCGGGCCAAATAGCGCTCTGGCGTTAGAGGAAGAATAACACGCCTCTTGGACACGGCTCAGACGCGTTCCTGTTCGAGGCTGCGGGGCAGCTCTGCCCGCTCCCGTGTCACAGAACGCTCCTCGGCACTGCCCCTCAGTTTCACTTCCAAGTGTGTTTTGGGCGATTCTCGCTGTTCCCCGGATACCTCGGTAATCGGTACTACCGGCCAACGAGGGAGAGACGACAGATGAGGAGGATTTGCTCCTTCGCCGAGGTCTCCTCTCCTGTCAGAAGCGTGCAAATACATCCTCATCTGCACTTGACAGAAACTCTCAAGCCCCAAATGCTCTGGCTATGCCTGTAATTCAATTTTTCCGCTGCCTCTTTTGGCCACAACAAACATCACAGGCTCCATCCATACCCTGCTCTGCCCCAGGGAAATCACTCCACAGTCTACTAGGCATCCCTCAACTTAATGCCATAAAGCTTTTACTTTACAGTTCATTTATCACCACTGTACATTAACTTTAAAAAGTGATCAAGAAGCCTTTTTTTCTTTTTACTCTCACCCATTTTAGCTTTACATTCCCTTCTGAATTAAGTTATCTCAGCTTTTACTTGCCAGAACTTTCCAATAACATCATCCTAAGTGGGGCAAGGCTGTTTTTGAAGAACCTCTGTTTTCAGAGACGAAGAAAGATGTAGAAGAGGTACTCGAAGGGCCCTAGGTGTTTCCGGGAGCAGCTCAGCCATTGCCAGTGGTATTACGGGTAAACACACACAGGAGAAAGGAGGTAGCAGGACTGGGACCTGGAAGCACACTGAGAATCATGTAAGACACAAACCAACCAAACACCACTGAAGCCTTCCTCCAGCTGACCACACCTCAGGAACCATCTTCTTTCTGCAAAATTTTCAAATGTTTTCCAAAGCTGGAGAACGCCAGTCCCCAAATTAAATGCAAGTTTTTCCTTCCCAGTGAGGAAAACTGCTTCCTCTGAGCAGCTGTGGCTGTGTGCTGGGGTGATGGAGGCACCCAGCAGCACAGAGCTGCCACACGCTATTTGCCTTGGCAAGGCTCTGCTGCCGGGGAATCTTGTGCCAGCACGGCCAGCTAACCTCGGACTGCTGTGGGTACCAGCAACGATGACGTTCTCTGAGAGATGGAGGAGCTATGAAAATATTCTTTTGACAGGTATGTGTACACATACAGACTCTTAAAAGTAAACTTAATTCTTTTCCAGTGTGTGGGTATGTACAGCCCTACACGCAATCAGGATTGCATCCTCACGATGCAAGAGTTAATAGTGCTTTCCACTTAAATCGATGAATTCCTGCAAGGCCAGATTAAACCTCTCTGCCACAACATCACTCTTTTACTGCTGTACATGTCAATGTCCTGCTCCTACTGACCTCAAAAACACAGCTGCAGTGTCAGGAATGGCAACGTTTCCAAAATTACTCAAATAAACAAGCAAGCTCAACATGTAGACTCAGCTGGTTTCACTTCTGCAGCACACCTGTAGAAAACCAAGGGGACAGTTCCTCGAGCTGTTACATCTCACAGCTCCACTGCTAGCCAGCTGAGGAATCAGCTCTGTTACATGGGGTACCTCAACTGCAAATACTTCTAAAGAAAAGGTTTATTAAATTATTTCCTCCAAAAGCTGCAGCTGAAACCATGAAAGAATTCCTTATACAGCAACGACAGCCCTATAGCACTTGGCTCTGCGTGCAACTCACTTCAAGGGCTTCAGAGCAGCAATTGGGACCGTGCTGGACACCCTCCTCAGGCAGGGAACTTACCCCCATCCCTCAGGATCCCTCTGCAGACACAACCCACCAGATTACAAAGTATTTTGATCCTTGGAAGTTTATTATTGGTGGGCGAAAAAAACCCAAAAACCCAACCAACCCAAACTTGGCAGTGTTTTAAACCCTGAAGCCTTGGGGATGCCCTGCTGGAGGCCATCAACCCCCCTGTGTTCAGTGCCCAGATGGCCACACTGCCCACGGAGCTGCAGGAGGTCCAAGCTCCAGAGAAGCCCTCCATGTAAGCTGCCAGAAATCCAGCCAGGCTGACAGCAAACCAGTCCAACTAGATTTTGAAAGTTGCTGAGATTCCTTCTGATTTGGCAATGATTCCTCAGTGTCATTTAGACCATCTAGAAAAAAAAAATTCAGATAAATCTTGAGTTTGTTCTCATCTGAGAAAAACCCTTTGCTTGTCTTCTGACCCTTTTACTGTGAAATAGGCTTACCCAGGTGCATGTCTCCATTTTGCCTTTTGACTGCAACAAAGCTGGATTCCCTAAAACTTCCCGATGTCACCATGGTGATGTTTTTGCCATGCACAACTTCCCAGGCATGCATACTCCATTCCAAAAGCCCTGGCCACTTGGGCTAAATCCCCAGCAGCTGCAGAAGCCCACCACACATGCCTGAGCTGCTCCAGTTTGCTCCAGGAAGAGATACCTACCTGCTAATCAAATAATTCAAATATACATCCACATTCATAAGCATCGACTTTCCATTATGTAATCTAGATGGAAAATACCTGAAACCTATACATCATGATAGAGCTGTCTTAGTTCCAAAACCTCCTCCTTGCACATTTAAGGAGCCTTTTTTTTTTTTTTGCCATGGAAGTCCTGCATACTAGACTCAAACAGGTGTCATTTTTACCTTGCTAAAGGTGAGGAACACACGGAAAAGGCAATCAAAAATCGTCAGAAATGGCAGAACCAAACAGCAGGCAAAGATGGATAAAGTTTTATATCACAGATTTCAACTATAACATGGCCTTTTAGTGATGTAATTCTGCTTCTACATTCTACTGTTAATTTTTGTGACTATTATCGCAATTATGGCTTCGTATTTTATCTTGCAAAGCTTTTTAGTTTTTATTCCTTCCACAATAGCTCTTATTGATGACTACCTGTCAGTTTCAAAAGCTGCTAGGATTATCAGAGACTGAAGGTTAACTCAGCTTACATTTGTCTCTTCCCTGTGCCTCTGTGAAATGGCCTTGTCCTGTGGGGCTGCTGTCAGTGGAAGCTTTGTAAGTCAAAAAGTGGGAATGGGCCCTTAGAGTGCATATGGGGAAAGAACAGAACTTATCTGTTTTGGCACTTTTAATTCAATACAATACTGTCTTTTTTACATATTCATTTTTTTTTAATAAACACTAACTGTTTATTAGAAAAACAGGGACACCTGGAAAGTTACTTCACTAAATGTAAAGGTTTCATGTTTCCTATTAAGTTAAAAATTACGTGGTCAGGATTTTACAATTTGTGGTTTCTTTTTAGATTGTTTTGGTTATACGCAAATGCGCTGTGCAAAATACAAAGGCAATAATCTTTCTAAAACTGCTGACGACCAGGTCATTAAGTAAGGTGGCTGGTCACATTTCATAAACTAAAGAACATTGTTGGAAGAGGAATAACTTTTAAAAGTTAAGAGGTGACTTTTGTAAATTCTCACACTGATGACGAGTGTAGGATGATTGCACAATTAATTCTTTGTGGCATGCACAGAAATCTGCAGCCGTAACTGTGGTTGTGTAGAATCTCAGTCATTCTGATGCAGGGTATTAGAGAAAAAAAAACTTTTGAATTCTCCTTTTTATAAAAATACACGTATAAAGGTTCAACTTAGAGAGCCAAGGTGGCACCTAATAAAGGTGAGGCAAAGAGGAGATGACAAATAATGGAAAATTGTAATATATACTATAATAAAACCTTAGATTTTACTGTTTATTATCCTTAGTGAAGTAGAAGTCCATACCTCTGTGCTGCACATTTCATTAGTGTGTGCTGCAACGCCTGGATGAATTTGAGAGCAAACCCTGCTGACCTTACTAACACAAGCAGCCCCACTGCCCCAGGATTGCATTTCACACAACCACAGCCCATTTCTGCAGCACTCATGTTCCAGAAGATAAAGGCTATTTTATAGAACATGCTGTTTGACACGCAAGACTGCTACCCATATATACATATGTAACTACTTGTCAACTTCCAAATCAAAGGTATATTTCCGATATTTATATAAAGAGATAATTTATTTGTGTGAACCAGAACTTCTTTTAAATATGTATGGAACAAATATAAAATATATAACAAGAATAAGAACTTTGATTTTTATATATATTTAGACACACATTTTTGTGTATTTATAAGTATATGCATTCATACATACATATCTACATACATTAAAAAGTTCTCATTCCTACAAATAGATTTAATAGTTCCAGTGGAAAGTCACAGGAGTAGTTAGCAGGATCTGCTCCAAAAAGCCATTCAGATGTCATCTCTGAGAACTTACGGAATGGAATCTCCCACCATCAAGTAAGAACACAAAGCTGTAATGCCCATACAGCTGTATGTCTGTGTTTAAAACTGCAGCTTAATAAAAGACATCTAAAATGCAATTAACCCTCAAAAAACTGTTACCAAAAAACCCAAAACAACAACACTGGAACTTCAGACAGGACATCTCAAGCCAGAATGACTAAAATCTGAAAGAAAGGGGAAAAAAATTCTTATGGATAAGAGGAAAAAGGGAACACAACATCACCATTAGTCTGTATTTCAATGCTACATTTTTCTTCACATTTTACATGGCTGGGATTTTACAACTCCTAGAATAGCTTCTCTCCAATAAAGTTGCACCTTGTCTCCACAGAGTACAGCCAGACATCAGGAGTCTAGGGAAGCATCAATAGCCTAAACCCTGTATCCTAAAAACATACACATTTCCCATAAAGGCTGCACACATCAGTGCTACATCCAAAGAGGTTTCTGCTTCCAACAGCTGATTTCCAGCTTTGAATCAGTTAAGATTCAAGTCTTCATAAAAACTCTGCCAGAGGTTTCCCCATGGTTACACCTCCCAGAGTTTGATCCCCTCATGTGCTTTCCCAAATCTGTTTGTCAGCCTTGAGGATGCCACACTAATCTTCTATGTATCATTCCAGTTTTAGTCTATATGCCACTGAAAAAAAGGCCTTCCTTAATCCTAGCACCTGTGGTTTTAATCACCACAGGAAATCCTGTTTCCACTTAAGTCAGTAAGACTTAAATATCAGCAGAGGAAAATGATCAGATTCACTAACTAAAAATAAAAATAATTAAAATAAGACAGAGAAATATAAGCTCAGTGGTTTATAAACCAGAGGGCCTTGACATCTACTTATAGCAAGCATGACAAAGTAAAGACAGTAGGGTAAAAGTCATCCCTTTAATCTCAAGGTTTGAACTCGTGACCTGCATCTCCTTCTCAGTATTACAGCTGTTGCCTTCTATTTCTGAACTGCATGGTGATGATTTGGGTTATACCTCATTAAGTAACACGCAAATGATATCTGTAAATATTGGATTCCTAACAGAGCATCCACTGGAGTTTATTCAACAAATTAAAACCATGTAACTCAAGTTAGAATGTGCACCCAGATTGTGCTGTTGAAGTTTTAAGAAAATTACGTGTATAGCAAGATTAATTGGCAGCAACTTCAAAAATGGGCCAGCCAGTAATGCCATATTTAAATCATATTCTGCAGCTACAAAAAGCAAATAGCTCTGGCATCCTGACTTCTTCACGAGCTGCCTATGCAGTCTGCACAGACAAAAAGCTCTAATAAGCTAACACAGCTTCAGAAATATTTTTTCCTAATGGTTTTTAAGTGACATGTGTTCAAGAACATCCTAGAAAGCTTACAGAAAGCTTTCATTGTTTCATATTACCTCATGAAACAAAACCAAACCCACAACCAAACCAGACCTCATGCAGTACCAAGCTTTTGTGCTACACTCACCAGAGTAGTGCAGAGCTCTTTGCCTCTCAGCCTGACACATTTTAAAACGTATTTTCTATGCCTGGCTACTGAAATCAAGAAATGCAGTATTCCTGAATGGCTGATCAAACTACATCTTCCCAGACAGATGGTTTGAGTACTCTATCTAGAATTAGAACAGAAAGATCCATTCCTGTATTAGTAATTTTGATCCATATCCAGATTATTTTAGAGTTGGATCTTGAAGAGGCCACCTCTGCATAGGGGCAAAGATGTTCAATATTTGCTTCTCCTAAATCAATGTTCTTTTAGATGGGCTTGCAATTAACCTACTCCCCTGGTTTTAGCTGGGCACTGTGTATCAGTCTCTAAACTTCCCCATCATGGATATAGACTGACAGCTGAAATGCCTCCTGTCACAAATTCGTGTCATT